TATATATATATAGTTTCAATCCATATGTATAAAAATCAATCTTGCTTTGACAATATCCAATAATTTCACCTGCTAGCTAGTTATATATAGTTAGGAAATATTTGCTAGAAAATATATTTTGGTTAAGAATAAATCTACCAACAAAGCAATGTGGTGACCACACCTTCTCTTCTATGGATTGAATGATTCCAACTCTAACCAGAATGTCATCTACCCGTACACCTTCTTTCGGAATGCCATCTACATGTGCAGAAAAAAATTACAAATATCAGAAAAAAAAAAAAAAACCAAAAAAAAAAAACATAAGCTAGCCTATCAAAATAATGTCACCTGAAAATTTTGGTAAATCATTTATCTCCTCAGTAAGGTGCTCCATTAGCAGGCGACCATAACTATTCAAAAAATTCACATAGCAAACCACCCCACTTTTCATTAGAAAAAAGATAATGAAAGAACACACAACTTTCCTTTAAAAGAAAGATGACGAAAGAACACAGGGATAATACAATATTGACTTCAAAGTTCATCTACCACCTAGCAACCACTCTTTAACCATGAAGTTCACACCTCCCTATGAAAAAATTTGTGCACCAATGAAGCTGAAAAGTGCAGAAAGCAAACTCTTCTTCACTCAGCCATATGCTTACACATAAACAGTGAAGTTTTCACCTCTCAACCTCCTAACCTGTGTTTTAAATTTTAATGGCCGTGAACTTCCCCTAAAAAATTTTGATATGTAAAAGTTTTATACTCCTCTCTTTCCTGCACCAGCATAGTAGGATGGCCCAATACCTATACCATAAGGAGCAGACAGCATAAGTTCTAGCCTCATGTAGGTATTATTCTCCAAAAAAGTAATCTCAATGGGACTGCTCTAGGTACGGAACCTCTACCCAAAGGTTGCTTGCCAAAAAAGCAGCTTCCCTCCGTGGTGACTACCTACGGTGCCACAGCACCACAGGATGTGCTAATACTGCCAGGCAACAAACGTCAGCATCTCCAACCATTTATGACAGTTGAATGACATCTTTTTTGCAGATAATATAATTTTTGAATAATTCCAGGACCTTCTATTGTTTTTAACTAACGTGGTTGTATTCCAATGGCTTAGAAACTACCGAGTTTTATGTGGGTTAAGAATAAAATTGTAACTTTTTTTGTAGGAAATTGACCCAGATTTAATGAAATGTACATAGAATAAACTCATCACTAGAAAAAAAAAATTACTAGAAAATAGTAAATTGAGTTTTAGAAAAATAATTGATTGTTTAAAATACAGAGACGAACCAACTTCCATTGAGGTGTCATTTCTGCATATACATTGCCAAAGCAAAAAAAGAATTAAAAATGAATCAAGGAATTTGTGCCAAGAAACATGATGCTATGTATCAGTAGAGCCGATATTCTCTAAGAAATGCTTGTAAAGGTAAAATTTTCATGATTATGACATTGAGCAATTTTTCTCAAATTCAATACTCGATTGGCATTTGCCGCCAACTATAAATAGATAGAAGACTGTATCCGAGGTAAAAACCCAAAAGAAATGGAATTTTGACCAACATTTCCATCGAAGAGCAATGTTATTTCACCTCAATTTTACACGCAGTTAAGTATCTTAGAAAAGTATTCATGAAACCAAAGCACCTGGGTAAACTATTCCTGACAAATCACCTACGCAGAGATTATTACAAACCAGGTATTACCTACCAAGAAATAAGGAGCTCACCAAAAATCAACAGCACTGTTTGCTCCATCTCATGGGAAGAGTGCATTTTACTTGTTTACTTATCTATGTTTGTGTACGTGTCCAAGGGTTCAGTTCAAGATTTCCTCATCATTAAACATAAAATAGCGAAGTAATTAAAAAAGAGATTTTTCTGAGAAAAAATTGTTTGTATCATACTCATGAACTTCTTGCAAGCTTTTTCCCTTCAGTCGAGGCACAAACTCCTTCCAATCATATTTCCCAAAACCAAACCTGCATTTTTAAAGATCTAAGAAAAATAAAAAACAATAAAAGCTGCTTTTTGTGAATATAAATATATATATATATATAGACACACACACACACACACATATAGATATTATATTCAAAAGGTTGAAGCAATACGCTACCCAACTTCAAGATTGTAAAATTTCTCAAATAGTTGTGGGGATTTGCAGCATAAATTTTTAAAGCTCGACTATCCCCATTCAACATTAAGTGCTAGATAACATCTTTATTTGCAATGTAGACTTCTAATTCTATAGGCCCAACAAATACTAAGTGCTGGAGACCAAGAGATAAAAACATATAATTGATGATAAAAGCAAGATTTTCTTTAAAGCAAACTTGAGTGAATTTATTCACAAAATCACGCCATACACGATATTAGTGCCCAAATCCTAGCTGCCTGTTGGTGGGCCAAAGGTCTTTACCACCAAGCTACAAGTCAAATGGCATCAAAAGCAATAAGAATAATAATTTTTGTGTTATGAGAACAATAAATAACAAGTACATCAGATATTTCTTAGAAAAGTCCCAGGGAGACGTCTTTAATGTTATTTCAAAGTTGCCCTTTCTACATTGTTGCATAATGTTATGCTGAGAATTCTCCTTGAAAAGTGTTAGAAGATTATGAAACATTAATGGATGGTACCAGCTGCCAAAAAATGAAAAAGCGTCAGATTAACAGTGCAACAAAGGCAGCAAAGGGGCCAACAGCTTTAGGAATAGTTTTACGAAGAAATTATGGGTAATTGCATACTAAAGATCGAAAGTATGAAGAAAAGATTGGCATCCTAGCTAGTTGTAATTGGCAAACAGCAAAATATAAAGGAAGAGGTAGACGGAACCATGGCACCGAACAAAAATGGAAATACACCAAGATTAGGAAAAAAATTTTAATTGCAATTATTACTTTTTATAAGGAACTACAAATTCCTCCATGTATAAATACCTACTAATATATAATAACACAAGCAGGATTCTTTAATTCTCATATTTTTTATATGGCATCAGAGCTCTTGGTTAGGGTCCAACTTTAAAACTTTTCTTTTCAGTTAAATTCCTTTTTTTCTGCTCCACATTCAAGAGTTTTAACTTTTCCACAAGAGAATTAAACCCCATCAATGAAAGGTAATGATGCGGGAGGTTAGCGGGAGTGGTACTGTAGCTACTACAGTACCACGGTCCCTTTTTCCTAATTGAAACCTTGCCCTTTTCTATTCCTTTCCTAATTCTAGTTCATTCCTACTCTACTTCCTTCCGATTTTATCTATTAGCTATGATATATATAGTTTTGCTTGCTTACGGTTAGTTTTTGATTAATTTCATATTTCTGCTATGACAGGCGCCAATATTTCTTTTCCCCTTCGAGGGTTGTATCCAAGGGATTGGGTTGTGCTCTGGTTATCTTTCTCCCGAGGTAGTGATTATTTTCTTCCTCTTCCCTTCCGCATCCTCCCACATTGATCCCTATCGCCGAACCTCACTGTAGCCGCCCGCAACAAAGCTTGACTACCAATTTTCTACAGCCCTTAGCCTACTAGCCAGCTTACACACCCTTTAAGTACTACTACCTCCCAAATTGCACCTCCTTCCTGCTATTCGAGCCCTCCCACTGGACCGTTGCCGCCCAGGACGGCCAAGGGACACCTCCTTCCTGCTGTCCCTCCTCTATCTACCCCAAAACCTTGTTGCGATCACCCAAGACTGCCTCCATATTTGTTTAATAAAGATAGCAACATCAGTTGGTTAACAAAAATTCCCACTAATTTAATAAAAATAGTAACATCTATAAAACCAATAACATTAACACAATTTTGTTTCTCTGTAATATATCTAGATATTCGATGATATGTAAAAATTTTCTAAATATAGTTTTACACTAATATATCGCATAATAATCATATAGAAGGATATTTCTTTTAATTTAACATAAGAATAATTCCTTATAAGGATATTTACTTATATAAGGATATTTACTTAAATATATATCCTGAAATGCTAACCCTGTTGACCATGGAAGAAACTAAAATTTGAACACTTACAAAATGCTCTCACCAAATCGATGCAAGAGGTGAAAATCCAAACTTTTTCCTATGCTATGCATCTCACTATCTCTCACCATAAAAATAGCCAAAACTATCCTTCTATTCTCTAAGCAAATCATGCTATCAAATTTTTTTTCAATCATCAATAACCAGTCTTCTACTACAGTTGGATCACTTACTCTCATAAATATTGATGGCACGAATCTCTAATTTATCCTTAAATGTTAATCAACCATCGTATCATATTTAGATCTTGACGCTCAATTTGATGAAGATTTTTCATAAGAAGTCATTTTCTTTACCACCTAAGTTTTCAAATTAACAATTTCAAGAAATTCATTGGGTCGGGTCTTTTCATTTGCACTATTTTAGTTTACACTTCTATCAAAATTACCAATTACTTAAATTCCTGATTTAGTAACTAACCTGATAATTGACTATTCTTTTTTATAGCTTTTTTTTTAACATATTTATTTGCAATTATACAATTTATTTATGTAATACAAATATATTATATAAAAATTATATCATAAATGAACTACTTCCCAATTCTTATGAATAAACTGCTCAAATTGCATCAACTTGGAGCTAAGAAATTATCAAATTCAAATTTTAGTTCTGTACCTATTTTAACCGCTAAATCCAATAACATTTTCATTATTAATTGCAACTATAACATTTGCTCTGATTTCATTGTCTATCACACTCCCCCATATGTTGCCAACAGATCTAACCGAGAATAAGTCAGTTACACAAAAGAAAAATACTTATTAATATTAAAAAAATAGAAAATATTTATAAACAATCCACAAAGGAAATATATTGAGTTTCCAAAAACTTATAAAAATAAAATTGTGCATACCCCCAAAAGTCTTATAAATTACCCAAAACATTACATTCAAAATCTTTATAATAAGATAATTCATCTTGCTAATGGCCCATCTGCTCATTACTCCTCTGAAAATCAACATACTAACATTTAAGATGCTCAATAAGATAAACAAAGATATAATAAGATTCGACATATAAGAAAGAAATTAAGGTCATGTTGGTCATTGGCTAACACAAGTAACTATAGTAATAAATAAACATACTTAAATACTTGAAATATAAGATTAAAAATTATATATGAAAAATTGGTTAGAAGTAATAAAAATAACCAATAATAATTTTTTCGTTCATTGTACTAGACAATATCATGTGATTTAATATTAAATTTCAATCTTCTTCTCGACTTTCTTTATCTTCAAAATGTTAAATTATATTTACTGAGGCTTTCACTTTTATTTCATCGGTTCATCACCGAGCTAGTCGATAATAATAATTGTTGATAAAACTTGGTCGTCTCAACATGGCACTTATCAACGGTCTCCAGAAATTGACTCGTCTACTCTAACCTTAGTTTCAAAATTCAGGAATTCAACATTTCCCTAGTAGTCTCACCCCATCAAAATTCTTATTTTCCTGACCATGTCAAAATTATAATTATCTACATATCACAACATAAATAATAATTTCTCAATAATCGTTATAAGTTATAATTATTTTTGTATGCATTTATTGCTTAACCTAATTGTATCTGCAAACAAATATTTTATCGATATGCACAGAAAATACAATGCTGTGATTAATATTATAATTTACAATCAATATTTCATTTCTATAAATATACTGAAAATCTTAAAAATAACTATTAATTAGTTATATGAATTGTACTTTTTCTGTTGAATTAAATAAACTCAAATATTAATTAACTCTAAATGCAATGCATAACAGATAAATTTGGTAATAAACAGTAGCAAACAATTTTTCTATAAACATTTGCTACTTTAACAATTGTAAATCTCACCTTACTCGACAACTCAACCTTGTGAAGATACTTCTCCATAGGCCCACCACAAGCTCGTAACATCACATAAACTATTTAAAAATAACCAATTTCATTAAATCTGATGAATTTCTAAAATCATTCTCAATTGAAGATAAAACAAATATCGATTAAGCTTTTCTATCTCGAAACAACTTACCCTCATACAAGGTTTTCACTCTAATTCTTTCTAAAACCTACAATTAACGCCTCAAACACTACTCTCTAATTCTATCTTTAGATTTTTTATGACTATTTTGATGCTATTAGATTATAATGACACAAAAGGTAATTTTCCTTACTTCCATGCCTTTGAAAAACCTCCCTAATATCCTAATAAAGATCTGACCAAGCTAATTGAAAAATGAGTTATCCTAACAAAAAAGCTTCACAAAGACTTATATCAGGTACTCCAACAAAATAGGCCAACAATCAGCCAACCACCCTGTAAAATTTCACAAAATGCTAAACAATGACTAAACTTTACAATCAGCATTGGATCACGGCTAATCCCCTCAATCAATTTTCGTCTGTCCTAATTCTCTTCCAAGCGATGAACCTCCAACAACCACAATGACCTGCCGTAGAAATATGTCCCCTACTAAAACATGACTAAGTGGTGCGCCAACCACAATGCAATGATGAGAAACCATCCTCCTATGGATACTTTGCAGGCTTGTAGAGTGTGGGACACCTATATTGTAGATGTATTTAAAAAAATATTAAATGGGGCAGAGCAACAGTAAGAGAATTCATTACCCTAGGCTAAACAATAGTCCCTACAATGTAGCAGTGAGAAAGCGTCTTCTTTTTCTCCTTCTATACTAAGACTATGCTCTAGAAGCTATTGCATTTAAGTGGGTATATGAAACGATTGTCAAACCACTTATAGATTACTTTTTATGCGATTATATGTGACTCACTCTCTCTCCCCACCCCCTCCGCCCTCCCTCCATCCTCTCCCACCCTCTCTCTCTCACACACACACAAACATACATGCATACAAAGTTTCATTTCCTTCCTTTTTTAATAGCAAGTAGAAGGAAACTCAACGTTGGATATCACCTATGTCGATGCTAACAATTTTTGTGCATTAATAATACGAAAAAGTTAAACCCAACCTATGGAATAAACTACCCAGAATCATTTACTCATGTTGCTAAAATGAATATAGCTCATATCCTTGTCTCTTACATCAATGATAGGATGTAAGCAGTGCCTTTTAAACGGTGATGAATATCCTCACCAAGATTCAATAACTCCTAAAAAAAACTAATAATAATAATAGCACAAAAAAGAAAAAAAGGGGGAAGAAGGCACTATACAAGTTAAATCAGTTTATAAGAATACAATTCAAAATTTTTTATAAAAGATGAGTGAAATGAGATATAAGGCCCACAGACCATACAAACTTTACAAAATACATAATTAGATAGGTGTATAAATGATTGTTAAAGAAAAAAATCACGAAAAAAGAAAAACTCGTAAAATTTGACATATTTGAAAAACTTAAATAATTCATCAGCACATAAGTGATTCAATCAAAATAAAAGATGATACTTATTTTCATAGTAGAGAAATGACTATGACGTATTAAAAGATATTAATACGATAGATTACAAATCGCGTGAAATTCTAATAGAACCAAGCAAAACACAAGATACTGATAAGAAATAGAAGTTAACAAAGGGCTATATCAAAAATAGTTAGAATGGTAATCTACTTATCTCTGATTCATCAAGATTTTGCATTTGTGACAAGCCTCACAAAATAATTCATTCATGACTAAGAAATTTTGCTTCCAGGCTGCCTATAAAATCCTTATATATTAAAATCTAATAATAAAAAAAGAATTATCCATAAAAGGCATCAAACTCTAAAACTAAAAGGCTATATTGATCTTAATTATGCGAGATCAATGGTAGCTAGATGATCAACTTCAAGTTACTACATTTTTTTCACAGAGAATTTTGTAATTAAACCAACCTCATAAGTAATTGCAAAAATGCAGCCCTCTGGTTTTGATTAAACCCACGAACTCTCAGGGACCTTCCTTCTCCTTCCATTAGAGGATGAGGATGGGTTAAATAAACTGCAAGTGTCATTGAAGTTGTAATTAATGTTTCTTAACAGTTATTTTCAGTTTAAAAAGTAAACATGCTCAAAACAAAGAACCTCTAGGTTTTTTCTTTGAAAGCTGGCCTCTTCGCCCAAATGCTTGTCCGGGTAATCCCGTGTCAGTGTCAGAAATGTCATCATCATAAGAATAATCTTCATCCTCAGAGCTTGATACAACAGTACCATCCTCTTCAGCAGTAAGCATCTAAGTAATCACCGATGAAAAATTAGATAAGAAAAAAAAAGAAATTCAAAGTAATTTATAATTATTATGCAAATAGGCCTTAAAAAATAAAACAAAACCAAAATTACGTAATAAAATAAAGGAAACGACTCCAAATAGATTATATTTGTTATACAATAGGCTTTAACCAAAAAATAAATTTAATAAAACTAAAAACTCTAAGCCTATAGGTCATTCTAGTGTTCCTCTAGGTCCACTACATGGCAAGGTATTTAACAAGACACCAAAACTTCTTCCACGTCAGAGATAAGAGTAGATACAATTATAATTATATTAATAACCAGTGGTATAAAGACATTTATTATCTTTTCTACTATAGGCTCTCCGTGTTATTATCCTACTCAGTTTCATGAACATAGCAACTCATATAATTTCCGTTGTGTTTGCTAAACCTAGCTTGTCAAGTTATTCTTTCGTTACTTCTAATCATAGCACATTTGGCAACTATTTTTCCCACCTATTACTTTTACATTTTATTTTTTAAACAAAAAAAAAATTATTACAAGTTATTGAAAAATGAACATGAACAAGTAGTTACAATGGACTGCAATTTAAAAAAAAAAAGAAAGAGAAGATATTTTGGATTAACATACAGTGTAGATAGTCATGCCAATCAAAGGGGATTGAAACAAATTGATATTTATACGTCAAACAAGTCAAAAATGAAAGAAAAAAAACAACAGGGAAATTATTACATCTCAGCTGAAATCTAGATAAATGTGGGAGAATTAAGAAAATTTACTTCTGATTAGTAAATTGACATACAAACACAAGTTGAAGTCAATTACCCACTAAACCCAATAAACATTCTTCTCAATAGAACAACAACAACAACAACAAAGGCTTAATCCCACTACGTGGGGTCGGCTACATGAATCATTTTTCTCCAGATTAGCATATCTAATCGACTCTTGAAGCTGAATAGAACTTCAATTATCAATATACTATACTTCAAAACAATCAATTGTAGCACTGGTGCACACAGCTGCAATGTCTCATGGATGGGACATGGTAATAGTAAGAGCAAGATCGTCAATAAGCTCAATAACATAACTAACGTAGGTATGGCTCTTGAGATATTAAAAGTCCAGACTAGGTTTTCAAGATAAAACGTGGAAAAGCAAGTAGGAAAGGCTCAAGTAAGAATAGTTAGTTTCAAGAGTCAAAGGAAGGAAACGATAGAGGTTATCACAAATACTGAGGAGAACCCTCAGTAGCTTCCCAAATTATCCTACTGTGTCACTACATTTTGGAAATCATGTTTAAATTTTTGATGCTGCCAACTTTATTATCTGAGACTTACACTTGCATAATACCTGGCTATGCAAATAGCCCGCAGAGATAGGAAAATTTACATCGCAACACATGACAACCTCAGAAACCTAAGACGAGTTGGGACTTACGCTGCATAACATGGTTGTACAGAAGCCTAGAGAGGATGTGAGGATTTACGTCGCGTCGAACGAGCTTACATTGAAGTCCTATGAATTGTTAATTAGAATAGGGAGAGAGATTGCTAAAGAAGATCCTCTTGTTGCTTGGTCCAAGCTCCTCGTCATGCTGCCCATGAAGTTGACTCTAAGTCTCCTACTGTAGTAGTAACTCCAGGGTTTAAGGGTTTTAAGGTTTGTAGTTTATATGTCACATTTTGGTTTGTTTGTTATTATTGTTCAAATGTTAAAATGTTCATGGGGAAATTTTAATTTACTTCATCCATCAAATTTTAAGTTGTAGCTTTAGGATTTCATCATCCCGGCATCAATATTTCTTTTGAAATAACTTATTCTAAATGAATTGTTAAGTCCATTTAGACCGGAGAATTTCTGTTAGCAACCATAGGTTACCTCCTCCAAGAGATTCTCATAAATCCAAAATGGGTGAATTAAGGACGTTCACTAGGTTTAAAAGTGTATAAATTTTCGAAAATGCATTGTTGTGGTTTTGTAAGTATATAATGTAAGTAAAATATGCATGGTAAAGTAAGAACGGGACAACAAAGTAAAGTAGTAAAAGACTACAGTAAATAATTATGAATACGTACTTGGGCCTCTACTACTGCTATAATGTTAGCATCATATGTGAAAGTAAGCAGATATAACTAAAAATTTAATGAGCACATCAAACATGAGCTTATGCATGTAAAAGGGTAGGTGGCACGTGAAAGCTCGAAGGAAACTGTACGAATTCAGGTTATGGTGGGCTCAGAGTTGGGTTGTGCTTTATAATCCAACTTTAGATAGAAGCTACCAACTCAAACCATCAAAGCAAGGCAGTTCCCGACCACAATCAAAACGATTAACAAGTGAACTTTAATAGAATTTTATCGAGATTTTTTTAATTATTTTCATGCATACAAAATTTACTTAATAGCCAAAAGTAATGTTGTTGCAAAGTGAATTTATTCGTGGTATCTGTGTGGATGTGTGGAGAAGCGTAGTATTTGTGTAAGTGTAATACCCGTGTAAGTGTAGTATCTGTATAAGTGCTTGGTGAAGTAAAATAGTCCACAAGTCGCTCACTTTGATCGAGCCAAAACTGTCGACAACCTAAGAAAGCAATGGGGCAACTTCACATCAAGAACTGGTGAATAGTATCACCAATCATGTTCTCCCTTCCTTGAAGGTCATCGAGGCAGAAAATAGTATTCTATCGTCCCACATTTGCACACATAAGCACTATCATCATTGCCCTAAAAAGAAAATAAAGGGGGAGGAAGAGAAGAGACTGACCCAACTCCCAAAATTGGCGAGACAGAAGAGCAGAACAGTGAGTGGGTCAGCTCAAAAGAGTTTTTAAATCCTCATAAGATGACAATCAAGAAAAAATTCAAACTATAGGCAAAAGGCCCCACAAACAGTGCTCAAGACTTGCCCAAATCAGTCAATAAAAGGCCCCAAAACAATGACAAAACCCCTTCAAAAAATGTGCATCAAAAATTCTAAAATCTACAGTGAAACCAGTTTAAACCAGTCCCAACACAATGCTCAAAATAGACATAAATCAACCCAAAAATTGCTTCAGAATCAGCTAAAAAAATGGGAACAAAGTCCACCAAAATTCGCTCTAAGAACAGTAGGAAAAGCCCCCAAACAACACTCATATAACTCCAAACAGCACCTTACAACACTAAACAACATTTCTAAAGCACCCTACAGCACCTTGCAGCACTCTTACACCTCCAAACAGCACTTCTAAAGCACCCTACAGCATCCTACAGCATTCTTAAACCTCCAAACAGCATTCAAAAACTCCAAACAGCGCTTCAAAAGCACTCTACAACATTCTTACGCCTCCAAATAGCATTCAACAACTCCAAACAACACTTCTAAAGCAGCCTATAGCACCCTACAACATTCTTACACTTCCAAACAACAGTCAACAACACCAAACAACACTTCTAAAGCACCCTACAATACCAAACAGCATTCAACAACTCCAAACACCATTCAACAAGTCCAAACAACGCTTCTAAAGCACCCTACAGAATTCTTACAGATCCAAACAGCATTCAACCACTCTGAAAAGCACTTTCAAAGCACCCTACAACATTCTTACACCTTCAAACAGCATTCAACAACTCCAAACAACACTTCTACAGCACCTTCAACGCCCCAAACAACAATTTTGAAAGCTCCCAAAACAGTGAAAATATCGAGTAAGGGCAGCCCCCAAGACAATGAATGTATCGAGCAAGGGCAGCCCCCAAAATTACTTCAAAACAGTTGGAAAGTGCGGACCTAAAATGGTTCATAAATCCTTCACAAGATCAGCAAGAATATAGGGCAGAAAGAACTCTCAAAAACAATAAAAATATTATGTCAGACGATGAAAGTATCAAACCCAAATCAGGACATGTACAGTCCCAAAAAGAAAAATACTGCATAGATCTTAAGCATGCAAAGACATCCTTCTTATTAAAGGAATGAAGGTATTTCCTATGTCAAACCAAAGATTTGGGTCGTAAGCATGTGAATATGAAAGCTCAGATGTTAGACATATGGATAAATAAGCATTTCGTAATATGTATGTAAATGCCGCATCATAATATAACAGAAAAAAAAAGGAAGAGGCATATGAGCTCCATTGAATTCCCTATCGGCAGAAGGTAGGACAGCTTGGTATTTTTGAAGCATTGAGCGCAACGTAGCACAGTTTTGTTTACTGAAAATTTAAATCCTTAGGTTAAATAGAAAAAGAAACGAAATTCTTAAATTCATAACCACTTGGTAAGGGAATATCGTTGGAAAGACTTTTACAATATTTAATCCAAAATTCGTTTCCTAACATTGCATTTCATTTAATATTGGCGCGCCTAAATTAACACACAACTCAAGCAGAGAAATCCTGAGATTATATGATGCAAATAAAAATAAAGAGTTGTAAAAGCATGAATCGTGAGATCGCCTATAACAATGAATAATATTCAATTCTAAATCATGTAGAACATGCCGTCTTATGAGTAAATGACTTAATTTCAGGGGAAGCACAAGAAGTCACCAAGTATATAGTTTTTATTGGCCACTTAAGAGCAGGGTTGGTTTTTTTTATTGAAACTACAGTGCAACCTTAAACCAGAGAGAAGGATAGTACTTAGACAACTCCCAAATAAAGGATCACTCCATAAATGAATTTTAGGAACCAAAACAATAAATCCTGAAGGTTTGAATCCAAAAAAAAAAAAAGCTAAGAGTTTGAACCTGCTTTGTCACCAAACACCTGAGGCTAGGGAGCCATACCGTGGTGTTGCCGCCGGTAGAGAAGGTCGCCGATGCTGAAAAGTGGTACTCGGGCACGGTCGCCGGCGAGGAGAGGGTTAAGGCTGAAGAGGGAGGAAGGCTTCGTGTCTGCGGTTTCGATGGAGAGGTGGGGGTGTTCAGTGGATAGGGCGAGGCAAGGGCCTTTGGTGGAGAGGAAGAGGGAAGGCCGAAACAGGCGAGGCGCGACTAGAAGAGGGGAAGGCG